AAATCTCTCGGCTGGCAGCAGTGTTCCAGCCAACGATCCGTCTCCTCGTTGAAAAAGAACAACTGTGGAATGGTGAGATGCTTGAGGTTGGTGAAGTGTTTAAATGATCTCTTTTGGTTCGTCAACAATCCCAGCAGCCATTCTAAATCGGAGTCGTCATCAGTAATTTCATGCGTGATGGCAAGCCTTTCTAGACTGTCTCGCATGCTATCAAGTTGATCTATGAGATAGCCAGCATCAAGCTGGGTATCTCGATCGTCAGTGAGGTGGTAGCTGTCGTTGATACTGCGCGAGCGAATGTTAGCAGAGGCAGCGTATATGATGCACTAACAAACTCACAGCTGCATTTTGAGACTTCGTAGCCGGCTGCAGTCGAGAGCTTCGAAAAGGTCACTGAGTTGGATTTCCGCCTTCTCAACGAGGGGACGATCTGCAAATTGTATCGAGACACTCAAGGCTAGATCATCAAGGTTCTCGGCGCCCTGTAGACACCCACGACCGTTGAGACGCAGGATGGTACCAATGGAAATCGTTTTTAGATCGAGGCTTTTAAGATTCTCGTAGTGAATGCCGGACTTCAGTAAGTGTGTGTCGCTCGTGGTCAAATGTCGAAGCGTGCTCCAACCGTGAATAATGCTAGCAGGGGCGAACATTCCCCCGAAAAGCCCGGAGATGCACTCGCCTGAAGGTGGACCGCGAGCATGATCTTTCACCCAGACATCAAGGTGTGTGAGGTTGGGAAGCAGTACGAGCAGCAGTCCAGCAAATCCCGACTCTATCGAGTTTCGAATGGTCCGATGCCAAGGATGTGACGCAGGATACCCCATCTGTTCCAGCTTTGCCAAGCTTCGCACGCGTAAAGACGCGAGGTCGAAGTCCTGCACCTCGCAAAGCTTCGCGACATTCTTGCGAATTGTCCCAACGCGTAGGGTTCTGATTTTTGCCGCAAGGTCTGCGCGGTCCAGGAGAGTACGCAGCAGCTGCAGAAGGGAGCTCACCTTGGGGTGAGTCCCACATGACATGGACAGGTTTACTGTGGTGTAAAGGGCATCTTGGGCGACAGAGCGAAATCTGCGGGACGTGAGACTCAGGTCCTTGAGGGTCGTGGGTGCAGCTGCGTCGGGAAGATAAGAGGCGACGTGCAGCAGTAACTCTTCCGGCAGCTGGTAGATAGGCGGGTCATCGTGAGGCGTCATAATGGACCTCATGCTCAGAGTATTGGGCGGTAGCATAGCAGACTAAGGGATGTTGATGCTCTGCTTACTCTGTAGTGGATTGCGCGGTTTTCGATTTCGCGAATAAGCTCGCTCTCGGTTGACTGTACCAAAGACCCTGACGGTATCATCCGGTGCGTATCATCCGCCACTCGACGTTGAATTCCCTGGATTCCTCAGGACGGCGCGAGTCGGGTAAATGTCATTGATCAAAGCACTGTCGTATCTTGATGCTGAAATGCGGCGCTGACGTGCCGGATGGGTGACCGCGATGAACAAGAAATTGCGATCGCGGGATGGTGCGACACGATGACGTAATCACTTAGAGATAGCAGGCACACGCACAAAGCTGCGGAACTGCACGCTAAAGAAAGTTAACAACGCTTAATCTAAATTGAACACTACAACGTACATACGGCTCGAAACTCAGACTTTCTTCTGCGCCCTCTTCTCTCTCAACCACATCTTGAGCAGGAACAGCAAGCTCGTCACCACACCCATGCCGCTCAGTCCGACGCTAACGTACATGGCGCCGCGATAACCGTGCAGTTCATCCTCCGCCGTTCTTCCGCCATTGTTCACGTGAACCTCTACTGTCCCTGCGATGCCAACCCCGATACTGATACTGTAGTTCACGATCGTATTGACCAAACTCGCTGCCATGCCTTGGTGCTTCTTAGCGACAGCATTACTCATGATCAACGTGCCGGCAGGAAAGCTCATGTCCATGCCCCATGGGATGATGAGCGTGGTAACAAAGGTTTGCGCCCAGTAGATCTGGTTGACGGGGAGTGTAGCGACGAGAATGTTGCCTGTCAAAAACGCTAGCATGCTGATAAGCATGACCCATCCTGGGCCGATGCGCGAGATGACACGGCCAGTAGTGACCGCAGCGATGAAGCCGGAGATCACGACAGGACAGAGATGAGCCATTGTGAGAAGCGGGGACTCGCCACGCAGCTGCTGGAGCATTTGGATGAAGTAATAAACCCAAATACCTGCAACTGTGGTTAGTCATGCGCTCAAAGGTATCTGGAAAGGCGACTCTTACCGAAAGCGGCCCAGCCACAGGCTATGCAAGTCAACACGAACGAGACATCCGTGCTGAGAGCATCAAATGGTATGAGAGGCTTCTTGGCGACTTTAATCTCGATCCAAAAGAAAAGCGGAAAGAGAAGAAGGCCGACTATTAGCAGGACGTAGATGTAGGGGTGTCCCCATCCAAAACCAGGCGCTTGGTTCCAGGCGAAGTTGAACAGGATCATGGCGGTAATGCCCACACTTGCGCCGAGTAGGTCAAGCTCACGAACTCGTTCCCTGTGCGAGAGATTGCGAACTTCCGGATCGAGCGGTACTGAGGGGAGGATGAAGATCGACAAAATGGCAAGGCAGAACAGCGCAATACCGAACGTCCAGAATGCCCATGGCCACCACAAGAGCGCCCAGAGACCAGCGAACGCGCCGCCAGCTATACCACCACCTATATGACGTTAGACAATATCCACAAGACAATGGGCAAATACATACCGGGTGCGCATGCTCCAAATAGCGAGAACACCATATCCTTCCTCTTTCCCTCGTTGTACGTTGCGCCTAGTAGACCAAGCGCATTGGGCAGTAGTATTGCCGGTCCAATACCTCCCAGCACGCGCGAGAAGATGAAAAGCACCTGACCACCATTTCCCTCAATGTAGACGCTGCAACCGGCTACTATCATCCAGACGCCAAACCAGATATAGCCGATGATCAACATGTTCTTGTATCCGAAGAGATCTCCGCAACGGCCAGATAGCAGGATGAAGGTACCGACTGTCAACGAATAACCCGCTATCAGCCACGACAGGACACCGGGGTCGGTGATACCAAGATCGGATCCGATGATGTGCAGGATGTTGAGAGTGCCGAGCAGACCTGCTTGTGTGACAAACTGAGCAGAGCAGAGCAAGCCAACAAAGAAAGCTTCGCGGAGTGGAGACATGGTCTCTGCGATTGACTTCGTCTTTGCTAGTTCCAGGTCCTGCTGCTGCTTGGAAGCATGCGCAGAATGGGCAGAGTTGCGGCGGTCCATGTCTTCGTGGGAGTCGCTGTCGTCAAAGGCCTGGTCGGAGGTAGGCGAGAACTTCTCGCCTGTTGGCTCTAATGAGCCTCTTGGTTCCTCCATTTCGAGATGGTTCGACGGCGTGACCGAGAACGCGCCTGCTGGAGTGTGTCTTCTCGAGACTATCGTGAAACGCTCGTGCTATCGCGAAAGATCGTGAATGTAAACTTGTGCTGAATAGACTTCAATTTCTGCGCCTATGTCGTTTTGGCTGTGAGTTCCGAGATGGTACCGCGATGACGACAGTGCTCGTCGATTCTCAACGACGCGTCTCGAGGCGGAGGCAGGCGATGTCTGTGTAAAAATGACTACCGCGATTCGAAGAGCGTGTAGAAGTATGTGTGCAAAGGTGACCACAGCGCGATGCGCGTCCTAGTTTGGCGCCCATCGTGCCTGACATTTTTCTGAGCAATCTTCAACATTCTTTACGTGAGCGCGGAATTGCGTCTGTCAGGCAAAGAAAAGCGGGTCCGCCGAACTTCGACCGCTGTCAAAGTCAGGATCTGCTAACGCGCAAAGACGTTTTTCTTCGGAAAAAAGCGGGTTCGGATGCGCAACCAAAGATCTAGATTCAGCAGCGGATTTATGGGTGCTTGTGATGCTAAGTAAGCCACATCATAAGCATGTGTAACAAGAGCGCGGAAGACGGCCGTTTGGAGCTTGTTGCGAGGACGGCTAAAACATTCATCCGCAGGCGCACAACCTTGGAAGCACAATCCCATCGACCAGCCCGAACCAGGACCAGGCCGCCGTCTGAGTCAAAGGCGCACTCTCTCCATTCTATTCAGATGCATCGGTTTTGCCGCACGATGTCCACGCAAGACTATGCGACTATCTACCGCCTCTTATCCTCATAAACCCTAACTCCAAGAACCTTCCAGACAGCCCAACTGTGCCCCCCAACCCATAACGGCCCACCCCTCCAAAGCGGCAAAACATCGTCTCTCCCCCGTCTCCTCTTAACAACAGGCCCCTCCCACTCCCCCTGTTGGAACCTCTCGACATCATCCCTCCTAACAGTATGCGTCCTTGCACTCGCCGCCATTGTCCAAAACCCCACCACATGCCCCTGATCGATCTTATGTTTCAACCAGCCCTTGCCTTTATTCTCCTCGACGCTATTGTTGAGAAGAGATAGCAGCTCGGTGCAAGTATAGTCGGCTTTTCCCTTTGGTAGATCGACGGAGGCCAATTGTGTGCGGTGGGCTGACGCGGGAATCTTATCGACGACGATGGGGGACCAGAGGAAGGGGAAGGGCGCGTACATGAGCCGGAGAGATAGGCTCAGGAGGACTGCGACGGGGAAGTCTAGGCCGATTGATACGCCTGCGCGGAGGGCGGATCCGAAGGTAAGCCGGGGTGGAGATGTGGGCGTCGAGAAGAAGAGGAGATGTCGCTGGAACGCGGAGTACGTGGGACGAGACATGGTCATGGGTTCACGTCTGCTTGGAGAGCTTGCGACGCGTCGAGGTCGTTGAGAATGTGCATATCTGCGGGACAAAAGTATGGTTTCGCGTGTATAAGTCATGACGTCACGCGCATCCAATGCACCAGCGCACACCGTGATAATGTAGAATAGGTCGGTATATACGAATTGGTCGCCTGGAGCGCATGTTATCACTGCAGATATTGTATTATCGTGTACTCGTAACCGTGGGTTCATTCTGTCGCGACTATTGTGCTATTGATTATAGCATTACCACACTTCCTACAACCGCAGCAATAATTGCACTGCCCAAAACGCTTGCAGAGAGACCACCGGATGCAGCCGCGGTGTAAGTAGGCATGGGCATGCCCGTACCGGAAGGTGTACTTCCGTTGCTCGATGTGCCGTTACCAGCTAGATCTGGGAACAGATAGCTAGTGTTGGCATCAACAACGATCCAGTTTCGCACCAGGGCAGTTCCGTTCATGACCGACTCCCACTGCTCCGCTGTGCATTGACCGGGATCAAGAACGTAACATTGCGTGCCTTCATCGACAATTGGTTCGTTGGTGATGTTGTACACGTCACTTGGTCCTTCGCTGGCGTAGTCGGGGGTCTCGGTTGTAGAGATGTTGCCGGTGCTGATGTCGCGGTTGAAGAGAGCACGTGTAAAGATCTTGTACGCGGTTTCGGGCTGGTAGGCTGGTACCTCGTGACCAGCTTCGTACACTCGCGTAAAGGATAGATTGCCGTATTGACGCACTTGGCCACCGATGTAGGTATCGTTCACGACGACAGGCGCATATCCGGCATCCGCGAATGAAGTGGCGTTGTCGTAGGGGATAGCAAGCGAGAGCAGTTCACCACCGTACCCTAAACGTTGCAAAGTGTCAGTTCATGTCTCAAACGCAGCCTTCTTGGGGCAATACTGACAATTGCAGGCATAGTCTCGGTCACCATACACCAGTGTGACCTTGATACCCTCTTCGAGAAGATACGCTAGATCCTCCTTCCAACCTGGACGTGGATAATCGCCAATACCTCGGAATGCCCGCGACACGGCCGAGTTCGATTGAGTCCAGTTGAGAGGTACACCAAGTCCCTGCTGTACATGTGGCTGATTCAGCCAGCCTTGATACCATGGTGGTGGGAAAGCAGCTGCACCGGGGGCGGAGATGTCGTAGTAGTTGAGGTCGGTGTCGAAGTAAGGATCACGGATCGTTTCGGAACAGAATGTCTCTGCCGCCTCACATACTTCGTTGACGGTCTCGTTGTAGCCTTGGTTAGTAGGATCGTATATAAGGCTGATGTTGCGACATTCTTCAATTTGATCAAGACAGCCTCCCTCCTTGTATAGGTTGTCGAGCACTTCCTCATAGCGCGACTCATTCACAGCCTTGATACCGTATGTGTTGTTGTACTGCATCCTTGGGTAAGCCGGCCATTGGGCGTAACGATCAATGCAGCCGTTGATGATCAGTAGAGTGTCGAGGTGAAGAAGATGGGTCTGTCCAGCTTCGCTCCACGTCCCGTTCTCAATCTTCTCGTTCTGTTCCTTGAAGTAAGCTGCGAACGCTGGTCCATAACGACCTCCATAAGATTCAGTCGCAATAGAGATTCTGTCATCATTTGGCTTGTGCTCAGGAAATTCCTGGAACCAGACCTGGGCGAAGTTCCAGAGCGCTCGTGCAGAGTTCTCAGTACCACGTGTGGTGAGATTGGAGTTTTCGCTAGGGTAGGTGCCGACATAGAAGCTGTTGTTTTGAGGGGGAACAGGGCCGTTGCCGAAGTCTACAACCTCAAGATCGCCGGTGTCTAGATTAGTGGTGATGTTGACCAGGCTGTCATAGCTCATGCCAACCTGGACGGGCTGGTCGAGGTAAAGCATGTTGACTGTGTTCGTTAGCCGTGATACTTAATAGACCAACTGGTGCATTTGGGACTAGCTCACCCTCGTTGTTCCATGACCATTCGTTCAGGTAGGTGCTGTTGGAGTCGGCACCGATGAAACATGGTCCATTCTCACGCAGAAGTCCAACAAAGGAACTGGAGCCAGGTCCACCTGCTGGTGTCAGTTAATGTCGCAGTGAGTACTTTTCAAACGGCTTACCGTTCATCCAAATTGAGAGAGGCGCATTGGCAGGATCCTTCCTTGATTCAAAGAACCAAAAGTAGGTGTTAATCTCATATGTTTGGTTCTCAACACCAAGATCGGCTAGTGCTCCAGCTGGGAGATGAACATAGCCGGAGAAGCTTCGCACGCCTTCTGTGGTTTCACAGAGGTCGGTCTGGGCTCATTAGCAACTGGATCAAGCACTGTGTGGAGATGGCCTACCTCTTTGTATGAGATCGTGACACCATCGTCAAGTTGCGATTCAAGAACGGTCACGCCCTCTGGTGTCGGAGGAAACTGGGCAATGGTAAGCCCACTCAGAAGTCCAGCTGCTCCAAGAAGCGACAGCCTGAATGCAACCATGATCGCTGCGGTAGGAGGAGATCGAGCTCTTCAATCTGCTGCGGGCAGAGGCTATGGAAGAAACACAAGTGCCAACTTTATACGTAGTTCTTGACATTGGGGTACCTTGACTCGTCTGCCTGGCAACCATGTACAAGCCTGCAAGTGCCTGCATGTCAGACATTGAGCTTCCTGGTTGAGCTATAGCGCATGTATCGCCGCAGCGGCACCGACCTGAGGCACCCAGTTCATGACGTCGAATGGCATTCTAGCGACGTGATACGGGCGGGGACAATGCAGGGCCAAGGCTGCCAAGGAGGCTTTGCGTCACTTGTTTATTCGGTAATGTCTTAGTTGGTCGGCTACCGGTTGCGGAGGAGAGTTGGATCTTTGCTGCGAAGCGTATGTGGAAGGTGAAGAGGGTTGCCGGCGATAAGAAGCCAACGTTCCGGGTATGGCGGGGGAGCTTACCTCGGCGGTGTTCCGCGCTCTCCAGCTGGTCGAGCAGTTCGCACGCAGCGAAGACGATGATAGCCAAGGCATCGTCGACGTACAAGCAACTCAAGCAAGAAACGGCGGACGACTGCCAATGCCACTAACTATACTGGTAGTCAGCGTCTGATTGGAGTCGTTCCCAGATGATTCACGTCGTTCAGGTCAAAGTTGATAGACGGGAGACGTAAGATTTCTTTGCAATTCGATCATCCAAAATAATGATATACAGGGGATATGATTGTGACTCGGTAGCCGGTATGCTGCACGTATATGAACAATGATCAATAACAATCCTGAAGACGGGCCTCATGCGAGTAACCTCTGCGCCACGAAACGCCAATCGCAATTGTTTCCCAAAAGCAACCTCTCTGGTATGCGCACGAATCCCAGATCGCAACAATACGCCGCATTTCCTCCAAACTCGGTACCAACAAAAGTGAAGATTGGGTATCTGCCAAAACAATGGTGCCAACTCAAACCGGCGCACCCCAAGCTGCTCGCAGACGACGCGCGAGTTGGATATCCTTTTGCTGTATGGTGACGCGCTTGGCGTGGATGGCGCAGAGGTTGGCATCGTGGAAGAGGTTGACGAGGAAGGCTTCGGTGGCTTCTTGAAGAGCGACAATGGCTTGGCTCTGCCATCTATTGGGGCCGTCTTCAGTTGTGACTGTTTGCGCGATCTCGCGGACCTAGAGGTATATTAGCTGACTGTCGCGAGGGTGTCTGGATGAAGGGTCCTCACGAGGCGCTGGAATGGGAGCTTCAGGAGGAGCAGGTCGGTTGACTTTTGGTAGCGCTTGATCTCACGGAGCGCGACAGTGCCGGGCTTGTAGCGCTTCTTTGCGCGATCGGGAGCGGGTCCTGCTTGTCCAACTGCGCAATGGTCAGCTGGGATGCGCAGGCTTGACTATTCGGCGCACTACGTACGTCTCTTGCCCGACTCCTTCCTTCCTCCGACACTCGCTCGTCCACCTCGCGACGGTCGCGCCTTGTTCTTTCTGGTGGGAGATTTGGGAGACATTTTGGTTCTGGTGTGTAAGGATATCGCGCGATGTGTCGGGGTCCAGGTGGATCAATTGGGGCGTGGAAGGGCGACAAGGGAGGGATCACGGCGCGTGAACAGCGCGAAAAGTCGCGAAACTCAAGCGCGTCAAGATCAACAAGACGAACGGTCGGCGCGTCGTCGTCAGGAATATCGATGAGATGGCGTACGAGGGTCGCGGTAGTGAATGGGGCACGGGCGCATCGTCCTTCGCGATCTTGACCGTCTGCCGACGCGACTGGGACGAGGGGCTGGTGCTGTGGCTGGTTCGCGTTCACCCAGGGCAGGAGCTTGGACCCCGACACCCGGCGTGCGGAAGGTGCGATCGCGTGCTGTTAGTCCTAGCGCCTTGGCGGGCCATCGGACAAGTTACGTAGCCACATGGGCTCCATCGTTCACACGCTCGGAAAGCGGCTGCGTTTGCTGAGCGACACTTGGCCTCTCGCTGCTTACTTAGGTATTCGAGTGCAGGCGCTGCAACTTGCCTCTTCCCCTCATTCTTCATCCTGTGTTATCCCTAGAGCGCTCAACCCGCCATGGCGAATGTTCTGCAAGGCGGGGACGGCATGATGGGAGGGGCCGGAGGCTTTCCGCTCGAGCAGTGGTTCTACGAAATGCCCGTGTGCACGCGCTGGTGGATGACGGCGGCGCTGAGTGCCAGTGTGCTGGTGCAGTGCCATATCATCTCGCCCTTCCAGCTCTTCTACAGCGTGCGCACCGTCTTCTTCAAGAGCCAGGTACTACCACCACTACCACTGCGTCCATTCCAGCCCGTACTGACCTGCATAGTACTGGCGACTGCTCACCACCTTCTTCTACTTCGGCCCACTCAGCCTCGACCTCCTCTACCACATCTTCTTCCTCCAGCGATACGCGCGCCTGCTCGAGGAATCGTCCGGCCGCTCCACGGCACACTTCGCATGGCTCCTCACATTCGCTTCGACGCTGCTCCTCTGCATCGCGCCCATGTTCTCCATGGCTTTCCTCGGCTCGGCTCTGTCCAGCACCCTCATCTACATCTGGAGCAGGAAGAACCCGGACACCATGCTCAGCTTCCTTGGCCTGCTGGTCTTCAAGGCGCCCTACCTGCCTTGGGTGCTCTTGGCCTTTTCGCTCATCATGCATGGGACGGTGCCCAAGGATGAGATGTGCGGCATCGTGGTCGGCCACAGTACGTCTGCGCTCCCAGCTCTTGTTGACAACAACTAACCTTATCCAGTCTGGTACTATTTCAACGACATCTACCCGCCGCTGCACAACAACCACAGCCCTCTCGATCCTCCCACGTGGTGGCTCCGCCTGATCGAAGGGCCGCCTGTTCCGGCAGAAGAGACTGCCGAAGACGAGGCGCCAAACAATATGGACGCAGGCGGCGAGGACAATGCCGCAGAGGCGGAGCGATAGACGCAATCGTGACAATGTGCATTTACATCTGGCGTTTGGCGAAGACTCACGGATTTGAGATACCCTAGCTGTCTTCGGAGCATTGTTAGCTGCATTGGTTTTGTAGGTACATACATTAGACACCCACTCGTACAATGTGCTACCCTGCCCACGGGATCTTCAGATATTCATCTCCGGCTGTGTTTCTATGGTTATCCAATCAAGACGGACAACGTGCTCTCTGACAGAGGCTGAAGTTGAGGTCGGCTACCCAGCTCCTGCCTATCGTAGCGTAGCACCTTCCTTTCTGGGCTAGCATCCCCATGGACCTGCATATCATCGCTCACGCTCTACAGGGTCTCGATCAAGTATCGTGGCGACGAAACGGCCATGGCCGATACCGCCAGAACTATTGGTCGACATCGGTGCCGTTCCCAGCTGCTTATAACATCACATGTCCTCTACGTGAGCATCACAACAAGCCTCTCTCCTGCTTCACTTCGACCAGCCCGATAACTTTAACGTCCAAGATGGCACCCCCGAAGTCGCTTCTACCTCTCCTTGCGGCAGTACCCTATGCTTCCGCTTGGGGCTCCCTCGGTCACACCGCAGTGGCATACATGGCACAGAACCTCGTCTCCCACAAGACGGCCAAGTTTGCGCAGACCCTCTTGAACGACACCTCATCCGCATATCTCGCCAATGTGGCTACCTGGGCTGATAGCTTCCGCTCTGAGCCGGAGGGGAAGTTCAGTTCTGTTCTCCACTACATCGATGCGCTCGACAACCCGCCTGAGAGCTGCAATATCGACTTCGAGCGTGACTGTCCTGAGGAGGGTTGCATCGTTTCTGCCATCGCAAACTACTCTAGCCGCGCCTTCCAGAAGTCGGTTGGCATCGTCGAACAGCAAAGAGCCCTGAAATGGGTCATCCACTTCGTCGGCGATGTTCACCAGCCACTCCACGTGGAGAACATCGCCGTAGGTGGTAACCTCATCAACGTCACTTTCAATGGCGCGCGAACGAATCTGCACTCCATCTGGGACACAGCAATCCCGCAAAAGGCCTATGGCAACTTCTCCCAAGCCAATGCATTGGCTCTGGCCAACAACCTCACCGCCGAAGTGAAGCACGGCAAGTTCAAGAAGGAGAGCAAGACATGGCTCAAGGGATTGAAGGCGAAGGATGCAGTCAGCAGCTCCATGACTTGGGCGCGCGACGCCAACAAGTTCGTCTGCTCCACTGTCATTCCCAATGGCCCTGATGCAGTGTTTGCGCAAGAGCTTTCAGGAGTTTACTGGGATACTGCTATTCCTGTCGTTACGAAGCAACTCGCAAAGGCGGGATACAGACTTGCCGCGTGGCTGGATGCTCTCGTCGAACTCAACGAGAAGAAGGGTCATGGAAAGTGGGAACGGGAGACGAAGCGGGCGGTCACCCTGCAGCCGTGGCAGGAGGAAGCGAGACAGGCTCGACGCGAATTTGGGCCTGACTGCGGTTGCGGCGAGGATCATGCGCACTAGAGGACTATGTTAGATACTTCAGATGGACTTGTACAGTGGAAGGTTGTAGATTATGAAGAGTGGACGACGAGACGAGATGATGAGATGAAGAATACGAGATAAATCGGTTAGACAGTGAAAGCTCATACAAGAATAAAACTGAACAGGTCTAGAGCCTACATCGCCGCCAGGTCACCTATCTTGTGTGCTTCCATTTTGATGTAGGCTGTAGGCCTGTTCAGTTTTTTTTCTTGGTTGACATGGTGATTACCACCGCATTGATCATGTTGCAGGAGCGAGCGGTCGACATTGCAGACAGTCAAATACAGCAGTGTTGAAGACATCTCGCAGAACACAAGACGCTGCAGTGCGACGCCGAAGTTGCAAGTGGTAGAATGTGCGATATCGAAGTATGCTCATATAAGTACAAAAAAAGGACATTTACACAGCTTTCAAGCACTCATCGATGATAGCAGACACATGCAGGCATTCTTCATCGCGCATCTTGTTCGTGAAGACCTGGATGGCAGTCGGTGCACCATCCACGAGCTTGGGATTATCTGCATTGAATACATTAGCTTGCGTCTCAAACCCGTACAAAGAGTCAAGACGGCGACTTACAACTCGGGCCTACTTGGCCAGGGCCCATGACAAAAGGCTCAGCATCCAGAGCGCTTGAGGCTTTACCAAAGGGAAGTACGCATGCGGGATACTGGCTTGACGTTAACAATGCTCTCTACAGCCACTTCGAGATGGGTAAGCATGACTTACATCCAATACGTTCAACAGTAGCGTATACGGCGGTAACCCGTATGTATCGTGCGCGACCGCAGTGTGCTGCGCAGCCGGACCGATTACTCCGTCCAATCTCTGCTCCTTCCAAATCTTCCTCCACTCATCTTGGATAGCATCCCGCTTGACATTGAGCGCAGCTAATTTCTTGATGCCCTCCAGGCCCTTGCAGTCGTCCAGGAAGTCACACTTGAAGGAATGGAAAACCTCCATGGACTGGATAACTGAAGGAACAACAGGCTCACCGCTAGCGGCTACATGCGTCGGGGGAGTGTCGTCAAGCATAAAGAAGGCAAACGCGAGGGCTAGCGCATTGGCGACCTGAGCGCGCGCCGGCGCGATAGGAACCACCTCGTGGCCCTTTGCTTCGAGCGCACTGACAGCTTGGGCTAGCGCTCTTTTAACCGGCGGATGCAAGGGGAAGGCTGAGTCCTCGGCCAAAAGACCCAGTCTTAGCTTCGGCGCGCTCGGCGGTGCTTCTAGGTCTCTCCAAGGAACGTCGAGAGCAGAGGCGTCGTACAAGGCCGGTCTCACTGATAGGAGTGACCGACATAGGATGCCCAGAGCGTGTATGTCGTTTGCTAGGGGACCAGCAGACGGGTTGAAGAAGTTGTTGCCAGCGGAGACGGGGGACATTTGGCCGCCATCTGGGATGCGCGCTGTAGAGGGCTTGAAGCCGTAGGTGCCACAGCAGAGAGCGGGTATGCGGATTGATCCTAGTGTAGATCAGCAAGTCTGATCACTACAACTTCGACGACATGTACTGACCTGCAATGTCTGTTCCAACACCGAGTGGAGATCCTCGAAATCCAACAAGTGCGCCTTCGCCTCCGCTCGACCCTCCCGCAGTGAGGGCAGTGTTGTGAGGGTTCAAAGTACGCCCGAAAATGTTGTTCTGTGAGTCAGCCGTCTATATCGCATTAGTTCGTGAGCCTTCTTCATGTCGATATGGGACAGTGAACTTACCATCATGGTCTGAGGGATATTGGTCTTGGCATATACGACTGCGCCTAGCTCGAGCAAGATATCCACAAGCGGGGAGTTCTCCTTCGACGCGGCATGATCCAGGAATGAGACGAACCCGATAGTGGCCGCCGAGCCAGCGACTTGGAAAGCATCCTTGAGACTGATGGGTAGGCCGTGGAGAGGGCCTACGATACGACCGCTAGCTCTTTCGCTGTCGAGGAAGCGTGCTCGCTCTTGTGCTTCAGCAAAGTATGTCTCTGTGAGACAAGACAGCTATAACACTACGTTAGTGGCTTGTCCTCTATTCTGAAGGAAGAATTGACGTACCAACTGCTGTGCCATGGCTGCTCTCTTCGAGAACGCTATGGTAACCTCCAGTGACGATAGAGTACCATCCTTCAGCTGCCTCAACAGCTCTTCAACGGTATACTTCTCGGTAATCTCCAGTTCCCTCTCGCTCAACAGTCCCGACTTTCGTGCAATGCCCATCTTCATCAAGCGATTTGGATGTTCTGAAAGCGGCATCTGGAGCAAGTCCGTGACTGATGTTGGAAGAAGCCATTCTTTTGGTATCTTCTCGCGACTGGACTGCTGCTTCGCAGCAACCTTACTTTCCCATGAAGCGGAAGCCATATTCGATGAACGAAGGGAATTGCTAAGTCTCGGAAAGATTCAAGTTGGAGAGATACGGGTCGGACGCGTAATATTGGTAATGGCCAGCATCCGGAGATGCTAAGATATGTATATCATTGGAATACTCAGATGCCGTAGTATCTATCCGTAGCTGAATAATGCGGGGTCCAGATCTCGTCCGCATGATCGCGAGACAAAGTGTTGATATCTGGCCGTGTCGGAGCAACATTTCGTTTCGTGTCTGAGCGGCAGGCGTTAGCGCGACACTACCCCACAGCCGCCAGCGCCAAGCCGGTGGGTTATTTAATTCGCAATTCGCCCAATTCGCCCCGTTCGCCTGCGGAAACACGCAATCCGGGGTTCGAGATAGGGATGCGCAGATAACGTACAGAACACAGCTGACACTGCCTCAGCGGTCGCTGTGGTATATATACGCACGAAAGCTCTGGATAACAGTGGGGAAGATATCCACGCAACAAGCTCCATGCCTGTGATAGACAACCTCTTCAACGCGATTATTTTTGTTTCGTACCCTCCTGAGAGCGATGGCCGACAGCAATGGCTCCAGACCGGATGAAGGCACCTTTTGGGCTCCGGGAACGCTACGACTAGAGGATTGTAAGACTCGCATTTGCCGCTGTAAAGACCGCACACTGACTGTCCCGCTATAGTGACGGGGCCCGCAACGGACGTCATCCTCCACCCAGTGCCTAGCACCGAACCAGATGACCCCTTGAACTGGAGCAAATTGCGCAAGACCATCAACTTCGGCTTGACCGGCTTCTTTGTCCTTTGGACATTTGTACAGCTCCAGAGCGGCACGACATCATGGGGTCAAATTGCGCCTGAACTGGGCTTCAGCAACGATCAGCTGAATAATGGAGGCGCTATGAGCTGTGCTGGGCTTGCAGTCGGCTGCATGCTCTTCATGCCGTTCGTACACAAGTACGGACGACGACCTCTGTACCTGCTCAGCTCTGCGCTCCAGTTGAGTGGAGTGTTGTGGCAGACCCAGATGGCGAACTATGGTGACTATTTGGGCAGCAACTTCCTTGCTGGACTGGGCGGTGCTATCAGCGAGGCCGTCATCCAGATCACCATTGCCGATTTGTTCTTCGTCCATCAACATGGAACGATGAACGCATGGTACCTCGTCTTCACGTCCGTGGGTGCCTCCCTCGGTCCGGTAGCCGCCGGCTTCGTTGTGGAGTCACAAGGCTGGAGATGGATCTGGTGGTGGTGCACAATCTTCCTCGGTCTAAACTTCGTCCTCGTCATGTTCTTTTTCGAAGAGTCCAAGTACGTCCCTTTTCTCAATGGTCAGAGTGTGCCACATACGGCTGGCACTTCTGGCTCGGATGGACTCGAGGACGGCCGTCCCGACTCAGGGCTGCAAAAGGCCACAGACGGCAAAGGCGACGCAAAGCACACCGCCATGGAGCGCATACAATCCCGAATTGACACCTCCTTACCACGAAAAACTTATCGTCAGCGCATGGCCATCGTCACCCCTTCCAATCAACGCATCGGCCACCACTTCTACCAGCCAATCGTTGTCTTGTTCACGTTCCCTGCCGTGGCCTTTGCTGCACTCACTTATGGGACCCTACTGGCGTGCATGGCATTGATGAGCTCATTACAGGCCGTTTACCTGTTGCAACCACCATACAACTTTGGAGCTTCTGGCGTTGGACTCATGAACATTGCTCCGTTCGTTGGCACGTTCTTTGGATTCTTCGCGGGTGGTTTCCTGAACGACAGATCGATCATGTACTTCGCCAGGCGGAATGGAGGCATTTACGAACCAGAGATGCGCCTGTGGATCACTCTTATCTCAGCAATCCTGCTCCCGGGCGGTATCCTGATGTTTGGGCTAGCCTTAGCCAGGGTATGTTGGTAACACCTGGCTGTAATGATGGTTCACTAATAGCTTCTTCAGGGTCTGCACTGGATGATATTGGCCGTAGGATTCGGGCTGTTCGGTTTTACATTTGTCCTAGCTAGTGGTGTCGCGCTATCATACGTGACAGATTGCTATCAAGAGGTGAGTCGACAGCTCCCAGTCTATTCGAAGCGGAGTTCCCACTGACATGACAACCTTCAGATCCTCGGAGATGCTATGATAGGCATCGTCTTTGTCCGGAACCTATTCGCCGTGGTCATCCTCTTCGCACTCACGCCGTGGACGAACAATATGGGTATACAGAACGTCTCCATCATCACGGCGGCTGTATGCTTTGCGATCTTGCTAATCCCCATCCCCTTGCTATTGTGGGGCAAGAAGATCAGGGTTGCGACGGCGACGAAATACAAGCGCATGGCAATGCGACAGCCAGCCCATAGAACACTTGAGTAGTGTGCATGATGGGTATCGCATCGCTACGCTGTTCCTGGAAGAAGTGGAGCGGTCGGAGTGCTTGTTCCCGTGCAAACGACTTCGTATAGTCGTCCCATCTCACCCAGATGCTTCCAACTAAAGACTTTCGTTCTTTGAGCTGTGTATCGTTCATAGTCGATAGTGTCATTGAGGAAGCCATGAAACGATCTCGCTCCAATGTATTTGAGCCGTACTATCTTTGATGACCCAGAATGCCATGAGTTGCTTCTTGACCTTTGTTCGCAATTCTTTCGAAAACTCAATGACGACGTCGATCTTGTCGAGCGCCATTTCGCGCTGAGCAGAATCGACCAGCTCGAAGCAAGCAAATACATATGGGATAATGGCGCCTGGAACCGAGCGCTTGGTGATTTGGAGTATCATCCGCAGCTCTTCGAAGATAGCATTTGAAATGACAGTGCCTCTCGCTGACGCCGTGCCATATGGATGTCGCAGTCGATGTACAATAAGCAGCACCGACCAGCGATATAGTTTGGCTTGAGACATGATGCTAGCCACCTCTTCCTGTAAAAAACGGCTGATTTGCTCAACGGGCAGGATTGGCGTCCAGGCCTCGACGGCGACTTCGATGTCGTTCAGGGCTTGCGCAATCTCGGATAGATCGAGGTTAGGATTCTGGCGTAGCGAGTCCGTGATCTTGCAAACATCGTATAGGTACGGTAGCATAGGCCAGGCAATTCCCATATATCGATCAACAGTGTCATCGTCCTCGTGGACCTCGAGCCGCAGGGTTGGAGCCTCGCCCCGTATGATGCACTCTTCAGTCTCCGCTTGAATGAGGCAGATGACGAAAGCCTGACAGTCCGGACCGAGCTCCACTGTCGATTCGTACATGGGCTTGATAATGTCGAGAGTGTGTCGACAGATCTCCAATGAGCTCCCGGATATGTGCAGGGCAAATGTGATGGCGCTCACTGCAAGCATCAACACAGTCTGAACGTCTCCAGAGTCAACGGCTTTGACAGATCGCAATGTGGAAACGGCAGCGGCAGCCCGCCTGTGGCCAATGACTCGGTTCTCATGGTTCGGGCCAGGCTCGTACTCGCAAGCTAGGAGGGCTGCGGTGGCTATCAATGAATCTTGCACCCACGACGTTGCGTTGTGGAGTTGACGCGCGAAGGCTTTGTGGTGGCAGATGCGGAAGCTTGGCGCGATGAGGAACTGGTCGATGCGCGTTTGGCCTTGGGATACGCCCTTGACGAGGTGCATCTCCCGCTCACTCAGATCTGCGAACGGGGATGGAGCCCTGGGCAGCGCGACTATGTCCCAATCCGGCATCGCTGGGCTCGCGGCCGAGGCTGGGCATCTGGGTGACGAAGAAGCAACAGAAAGGCTGTCGCTCCGAGCCGTCTGTAGCGGGCTGCGTGTCGTACCCTCGGTGCGCTGATACCGAGGTTTGCGGCCAGCAGTGCCAACTGGTCGTAGGGTCTGGCATGAGTTCCGCAGGCGTTGGCATCGCTCGCAGGCATCCTGGCCGGGGACGCGCCTGCATCTCTCTTTCACGGCATGGCACCTGTCGCATGCTCGTCTTGCTGGCGGTCTGGCCATCGCGGACGCTCTCCGGTGGGTCGCAGTGGATACATGCTCAGTGAAGGGTGGTGTCTGGAGAGCAGGCAAGGTAGCTGAAACACCGGCGGGTGCTGAGTAACGAAACACGTGCCGTCCGGCAATCCCCGCGTCGCTGGCTTCGATCAACCGAGAAAGACATCGACCTGGGATCTTGTTGTATACACTGGGATATACATTTGTGAGTTGATGATACGATCATGATGTAGGGATTTACTTTGCTCGTTTTCGTCGCGTGTCGAATCTCGGTAAGTTAGTGAGTTTTTTTGGAAGGAACGCCCCGCAGACTGGAGCTTCACGGGCGTTCACGGAAAGCACGCGTCTCTATGACGCGGCTGCCACAGAGAAAGCACGACAGTCATCAACATCGCGGCTGGGTAAAGCTTTGCGAGGCCCAATATCGACGTTCTGCTCATCCACCATCCCTCATCACTCATCTCTTATCTCGTTCCTCATTCTCATTCCTCCTCTATTATCTCTCATCAATACCCCGCAACAGAACAAACAACAGAAGAAACCAAAACTGTCTGCAGCGGCGTTAGAGACAAGGCTTCAGACTGCATATAACAACTTCACATCGAGCAACAAGACCTATTCTAGACATAACTATTGCCAGCATTCTCAAGAGACAATATATTAGTCCACGTACACAATCGCCGCATGCAGGAAGCAACGCCGTCCTCTCTAGAGTATAACAGAAGGCACTTCACCGCGGCGTGTGTCCAAGTTCCTACTCTATTAAGTGCGACCATCGTCGTCCCTAGCCAAACGGTATGTCGCGTTTATCCTGCATTGCCTGTTGGAACATATTTACGTTCTTGCGGCGCCGCTGCACGGCGGCGTTGCCAACAACATCTAGCAGCAGATTGTGTTACCGCACTTGGCTGATCTTATGCCTGAGGTTTTTGATTGTCTGCTGTCTAGCTCCTCCTCGCTGCGTCTCTCTAACCCTAACATTCCGCGTGTGTGCTATGCAAGTGAGTTGTAGGCCGCGTGATATTATGCATACGCTCATCCGAGTTCGTTGGTCTTGAGAAAAGGTGGTGCTAGATAATGCTTTGCTGTAGAGTAGCAGTACGTGCCGCGGGGGTTAGTGGTAGACGATACTCTTGATACGAACAGGGGAAAGTATGACTATGGCTCTCCTGCCGAATCAGCTTTGAACCGGGTGCTGTTGGCCCTTAGAAGCCCGGGAGTTAGATCTATTTCTTCCGTACGCTTATTAAAGTGTTCTAGCAGAGTTTGCGCCGGTACTTAATGTTAATCTTGTTTCTTTTAGGTGGTACTAAAGTCGGAAGTAAGTTCACAAGATTATGCCCTGATGGGGTTATCTGCGGGGTTTGACTGTCTGCAATGTCGACCGTACCTCCGCTTCTGCTAAATGATTGATGCGGTAGAAGTTACTGGCGATTCTAGTTAAGATAGTTAGAAATTTATGCAAGGAACACCACGCAGATTAAAGTTTTACATGCGTTTACCAAAAGCACGCGTCTCTACAACGCAACAGCTATGGACAGAAAGCATAATACCTATAGCTATTGCCGCGGAGTCTTATTATGCAAGTATCAACACAGACTTTCTGCTTATCTACTACTATTGCGCCGCGACAGAAGAGACAAAGAACACCGGCACAGTACGCAACAGCTCTTTCTACTCTCTACCTTTTAATCTACTATTTATCTTGGAAGTTCTCTAGCAGATCTATACATGTGCAATAACTTTTAATAAAACAATAATACTTCTAGATAAACAGAGTACTAGATAGAAGTAAAGCACTCTTGAAATCTACGCGAATCTCTTGTATTAACTTCTTACTATGTTTTACTTCTTTCCTGCTGTCTTAGGTTGTCTCTTAAGTTGTGCTTAGTTTCTTGTTCGCGCAAAGCTAACTATACAGTATAATTAGTCGCGAATACTATGTAGAAGCGGCATCGCCTAACCCTAAATAGTTGCCTAGATTCTCTAGCCTGTTATTGTTCTGGACGTGTGTTTGACTACGCGAGTCGAGCTTATGTTTTGGCGATATTTGTGTTTGTTGCTTTTCTGCATCTTGTCTAGATCCCAAGAGGATTCTAAGGTTGCTACTTTTACACTTGCGCAAAGTTACTTACTGCATTCTTGATCGAAGCATTCTATAACATGCATTCGCGGCTGTCCCTGCTGCTCAATCACGACTTATATTGTACTGCTTAACGTATAAACTACGCCACTAGACTGTAGATACTAATGCCAATTTGCTTTGCCCTAGAGGCAACGTTCGCAATTCGTGACGCGGGGGTGTAAATCTAAAACTTCCTTTGCTTATGTCTCTATCTGCAACGGAAATCTATGTGCTTGAAGTAGAATATAAACGTATCCCGTGGTGCTGCATATATGCGCTTGGGCAAGCCTATGTGTAAGCTCTTATAATGCACTTCTAGATGCGGTCGACAGCGGTGGCCGCATACATCAAATCCATGCTATCGATGAAGCGTGGTCTTGGAACTCGTTTGAGCGATAGTCGTCTTATTCAACCATGTCTCCGATGCAAGGGTTGGATCTGTTCAACTCCTTGGTTGTTCATTGTATACATGGCTAGACGTAGTCTACTATTATGTAGGCTTCAGGTCTAGTGCCTGATCAGATACATATATACTGTAGCCGTGAGTAATCTCCCTGTGTTCGGGCAAGAGGTCGAACATCTACATATCCATCACGCATTTCGACAGTTGACAGTGACTGGATAGATAGGACCTTGACATGCTGTCCTTTCGCTGCGCCAACAGACCGCTTTAGAAGCGAGCAATCTACGCACACACGTCGTAGCGGACTGACAAAATCAATTTCCAGTTGACAATCCTCGCTCACTTCGAGATTGAAGTGCCCGCCTGCCGACCGCTCTCACTTGCCTGGGTCATAGCGCCTCCACCTAAACAGAGCTTTCGCGCCCTCCCATCCTCTTCTCCAACACCCAACATCGCCAGCGACCTCCCGCGATGAAGACGCCGCCGCCCACCCACAAACGTATGTGCAGCCCGATTGTTCCATTATCTAGCTGACCATAGTACCAGCGCCCAAGGGCCGAGACCAGCCAGCTCGTATGACCAAGTCATCGAGAGTCACTAAATCCGCTGGTGAAAAATCCATTCGTGCCACCCAACGTGGTCCTGCGCCGCCTCCAATTACCCAGGCCCCTCCCAAAGAGGCTACCAACTCCGGTGACGACGATGACCTTGATGACTCCGACCAGATCTTCATTGAAGCTCTACTTGCCAATGTCCCGGACAAGCTACAAGGCGATGACATCTCTGGTGAAGCCCTAGCGGCGAACCACCTCGAACGCGCGAAGGCTATGAGCGATGGCATCCTCGAGTGCTTTGCCCATTGCATTCGCCCGGCGGTTGATGACAGAGTCAAGGTGTTGATGGACCTTTGGGGAGACGATCATGACCGTGTGCAACACGATATGGTCCGGGAAGCGCAATCAATCGCGCGTGTCATCAACAACTGGATGGAGAGGAAATGGCAGGTACACATTTGAGTATGATGACCGTTCGATGGAGATTATTCATCGCGAAGACCAGTTGGATTACGGATCTCTTATGACAGCGCAGCCATGCACGTTGGCAGCAGGATGACCTGAGAAATGAACATGATTCGAGTACCTTTCTACGTACCATGCTGAAACATTGATGTGAATCCGAGAACGTGGAGACGAGTCTGTGGTCATTACACCACCCCATTGCGTCGCGTATATTACAGATCGTGGATGTGTTCCATCTCCGTGAGCGGACGCGTGGGAAAGGCACATCCTGACGTAGGTGCTGTTCGTTGATACTAACATGGTCTTTTCCCCGGTTGTCCGCGCACTGGAACCCGACTCGTGACGACTACATGGACTTTTATTATGGAAATTCGGATTCGGATAACGGGAGTAGGCTGCAATGGTTTTGTCGACCAATGTAGTTGATCCGCTCCAAGCCTGGACTTACCGGTCGTATGATAATAACGCCAGCGGATAATGACATTCGTGATGCAATGTTGGTGTCGCAGCCTTGAATGACGAGATAATTCTGCCTTTCCACCGCCACCTCGCGTTCCATCTTTTAGTGCGAAGGGGTCGAGACTGCGGCAGCTGGACCAGCAGAGGCCGAGAGCAAGGGGACTGAGATGGGTACGGCGAAGCTGAATGAGGTGCAGCCTAATGAGAAGGCGGGAACAGCACCCGTGGCCGAGCTCAAGAAGCCGCCAAGGTGCAAGGGAAGTCGTGAAATCGAACTGAAAATACAATGTGATCATGCTATGTGCACTATGGTAACATTGAAAGGCTAGTCGATCAAGACGACATGCATACACGAGAGCTTCCAGAAAAAGGGCAAATACTTCACCTCTCAAACGGGAGTGTCCATTGAAGCCTCAACTTGTACCTTGTGACGGATTCTGCTGCTGGTCGCCAGATATCGACTCTGTTGAAGTGTGACCATGTTTACACTCTCTGCACGGTGCGCGAACTCGCTGCCTGTGGCGTTTGATGGATGCCTCGTCTGAAGACTTAGGGCGTATGTGGCCGTCATTCCCCTGCGCACCCATGAATATCATGTAAGAAAGCAGATTTTCTTCATGGAGACATCGCGCTGTTATGACCCAAAAGTATGTACACCGCGTGATATGAAGAGGACATGCCATTTTGACGAGAAGTCCAAGGCTGATTGTGTGATGTATGATGACTCCAGCTCACTGCAACTGTTGTAGCCTGAACATCCTCGTTCGAGAGTAGGTATCGCTGGACGCCGCGGTGGTTGCTGATTGGTATACGAATGCGCAATCACGAAAGACTGCGTCTCGAGAGGCGATAGGTACATCGGTATGCAAGCATGGAAGCCAGAGTTTACTTGACTCGGTAGAGCTTGACAACTGCTTGTATCCGCCATCGTGCCACGTGTGGAATTATCGCGATTGTGCTAAGTCCTCGTCAGCTGCAAAGTGTCGGGATTGTTCTCCAAAAGTAAGACACGATACCCGATTCGGCCGCAAAGAGACGTCCCATTGAATGCGCGATTCCCCCAGGCGCGCGCATCAGCCAGGCGGCCAACCGAAGAAAGATGTAGAGAGCTGTTGGCTGTCGATTCTGAGGATCTTCCAACCCTTGCGAGGTGGAATCGGTGCGTTCGAAAGTCCTGCCAGACCTTGGGGATGGTGGATGGGTATGAGAACAAGCCGAAATACTGTAATCGGCACATGCGCACATATGGACAGGCCTTGGAGGTGTGGCGGGTGTGTTGACGAGAACGCGACGATGGCGCGAGGCCAGGAAAGACCGGGTGCGATAAGGCCGGCCCGTGCTGCCAACCAGACAGGAGCCCAAGGGCGCGAAGAGCCCTACCGTTAGCTAAACAGAAGCATACGATGTCGCTGATATCCAGCGCAAATTACAACGCTGCGGTACCATCTCAAGTCGCGGCGCGGCCTTTGCTGATGGGGGCGGAAGCTAGGAAGCGCTTCAAAGAGCCACTGCGCAAGGTCGGAACAGAGCCATTCGAAGACAACAGCATACAGCGGACGATTGAGCGCGTCTGTGTCGAGTAGAGACACTGTAGTGAGGGTGTAAAGATCAGAGTGCTCGGCATAAGCCACAAATACGGCGTCAAGAGGCCTAGTGGGTTTATCAGATGCAGTCGAAAATGCTTTGCGGTGCGCCGAAAATGCTTTGCAGTGCCCTGAATATGCTTTGCAGTGCCCTGAAAATGCTTTGCAGTGCCCTGAAAATGCTTTGCAGTGCCCTGAATATGCTTTGCAGTGCCCTGAGAATGCTTTGCAGTGCACTGAGACTGTTCTCTGTGCGTAGTTAGTAGGCTTCTGCGGGGTAAGGCCTGTGGTGCGAGCCAATCAAGTTCTTATCGCCTCCGATAACGTGTCAGACAGTCTGATTCTATTGTCAACCCGTCTGACCTAGTTGTCAGACCCTCTGACCCAGTTGTCAGGCTGTTTAATCACCTTTCCTAGCGACAGCAAAGCCTATATTCAAAATTCTGAAGAGACAGGTTTCTTCGCATCGCCTTGCTGAATACGTACTCTTTTTCTTAGAATTTATTTGCTCTGCTGTAAACATTGTGGGTGCAAGCCTTGCATCTGATTTTCGCGTGTCAAGCTGTCTGACTTCGTTATCAGAGCTCTGGTTACGATGTCAGACCCTATGAAATCATGTTCAACACGTATCCGGCTAAGTCTTGTAGCCTAACCCGATTAAGCTCTTATCGCCTCGATAACGATGTCAGTCCTTCTAAAACTGGTCTCAGCCTCTATGATATTATTTGCAGTCCTTGCGACGTCATTTGCAGTCCTTACAACACTATCTGAGAACAAAGTCATTGCACGTTCACGTGATTCCTTGGCAGCGAACTGACTCGCCATGACTAGTCAACCCCGGCGCTAAGACCTACCATCACCACCTTCGACTTCAACGGTGATTTCATCGACAGGACAAAGCAAAAGCCACTGCAAGACGACCTCATTCGCCTCATACCAACATATCCTGCGCAGACAGTTTCGCAAGCCCGCGCCCGCCGCGCCTGGCGACGCCCAAGCCCATCTCACCCGGCTCTACCATCCCGAGCACGATCCAAACAAGCCATCGATATAACCATGCACATACGTTGGATGCAGTGTTTCTGTCTCGGGGCGCCTGGCTCAACATGACGGCGGTCTACGGCGGTGATACGAGCTGGTTCCAACGCATGGTGCAAGCCGCATCTCTCGTCTCCATGATGGAGCCACCACAGAAGAAAAGGAAGACGATGCCAGACCCTCTGGTCGCAGTACGACTGATGATGAGGGAGTTAACGACCGTACTCAGCACCCCTCCGAGCCCCCCTCGCATCAGCCATTCCGAAGTCTGGGCGGCTATCGCAGCCTATGACGAGCGAGCGAAGACCGTATCTTCTTCACGCGCAGCCTACCAAGGGCGACCAGCCGCGCCATTGGATGATACACTGCCAGCATATCATGACCCCACTGCCTCAATTCAAAGGGCGAGAGTCTGTGGTGAGAGCTGGCCGCATGAGTACGTAGGACAGTCACTAGGATATCCAGCTACTTACTAGTATTAGCAACTCGACGACTTCCTCAGCCGGTACTTTGCAGACGACCATATTTTCACCGGGACCAAAAGAGTCAATCCTATCTGCACCAGAAGACCCTGCCCTGAACATACTTGGTAGGGGTGCCGTGGACGATAACCTCCAGGATACAAGCGGCGCCTACCTCGCCGATGCTGTGGAAGAGAACCGCGCGGAAGAAGACGTGATGATGGACGACCCACAAACACTCAACTCTCGCCCAAAGCTAGCTATTCCGAACAAACTGGAATTGAAGGCTAGAGAGCTTGGAGAAGATGGCCTACCGCTCGTACTGCACGACCCACTCGCCCTCTTCGCCGTCCATCTTCGTATCGCGCCCGGGGTGAGCAATAGCAGCTGGTTTCACCACATGGTACAGGAGCGAGCTCCGGCAATCAAGCCAACCTCACGCGGCAGCCGCCTGGACCGACCGAATTGACCCCTACGTCAGAGCAATCACGGTCGAGGAGCTCCTCAGTAGCGAGCGACGATACCGCCATTGAGTTCTCCGAGTTCGATCCCAGCAGCTTCGACTTCAAGAGCGCCACCCTCCCACCAGGGCTGAAATGGGTGGCACCGCACCTCCGTCTTGCATTCCGCGAAGACCGAGAGGATGAATAAGACCAACTGTTCAGTTTCGAGGGGCATGCAGTATGCTTTCTGCGGGAGAACGAGGAGCGTGTCGCAGAAGTTCTGATTAGTGTCGAGACTGGTGGCTTTGGCGTCTACCAAGCAGGCATCCAGACGACTAGCGCATTTCTCCGCCACATCGCTTCTGACGACCGAACAGCAGTGTGGAAAGACTGTGAATATTGGCGGCTGGGACACACTCCATACAGTCAGAACTCTGACAAGGAGTTTGATGTGCTACAAGGAAACATTGATGGCCCCTCGATCCTCACAGCCGGAAGCGATCGACCCATTGACAGGGCCAAGAAGGAGTTATCGATGCTTATGAAGGAAATCGGCGATCTAAGACGTGATGCCAGGAGATGGAAACGCCACCCCAGGAGAACCTGCGAGAAGAATTCCAGGTGCTGGCAAGGCAATACGAAGACCCACCGAGAACTGTCGTCATTGCTGATCCGTATATCGAGACGCTCAGAGCGCGAATCTCCGAGATAGAGGCCAAAATCGAAGACCACAGGCGGGAAGAAAGCAGGAAGAGCGAGAATGGGAGAACAGATAGTATCGGGCGGAAGCGATGGGCCACCGTCGGTCGAAACCCGGGGACGTGGTGCCCGCACCCATGCGTCGGCAGCGCAATCACTGCCAAAGGGAAGTGAGCCGGTACCTGCGTCGACGCCGAAAACTATACATGCGATACTTGCATCAAAAAGAGACGGCCTGGTACCTGGATTGCCCGGTCGGCTGGTGAAGCGGGTTACACGGTGATGTAATCATTTATGTCTCAAACCCGAGTTCTCCTCGCGACACGCTCGGCGTGTGTTTTATACCAGCCTTTAGCTACGAAGTCCCCTCGCCTCAGTATGATCATCGTCTATTCGCGTTGCCACTGCCCACGTAGCCTTCTGGCTCCAGGCTTCTCGACAGTGTCGAAGCTGATCTCGAGCGAGCTTCCTTCAGCACAGCCGCAAAGCTTGGAAGACTTGTCACACCATGGAGGAATCCGAATTTCTTGTCATTTCCGTCTACGTAAGCTCACAAATTCCCTAGTTATTGAATAACGAGTTCTGACAAACAAAGATCTTGACTTTGATCATCAGCGGCAATCTTTGCAGCGCAAGCAGATCTGATGAGGATCTCCATCATCTTCTGCATGACCCCGAGTCTACGTGGCGTATACGCGCAGGGGAAAAGAACGCACCAGGAATCTACATCCGGAATCTTGTCGACAAGGACGGCGACACACCCACACCCAACCAGTACCTTCGGGTACCCAAGAGACTTCGCAACTATGTCTCTGGCGAATCATGCCGCTGAAGCGACGAGCGCGTGGCGAGACGTTGTGGCCACCTCTGGCGTATACATCCTCTCGCCAGACTACACTGGAGTTCACCAGAGAGAATGCCTGAACCCCACATATCACAGAAGCGCCATCTTGCGTATCATCTTCACGATGGAATATCACCCGGGTACTGTTCTAGTAGCCGCCCAACAGGACTTGTTCGGGAAGTGGGCATCAGGCGGTAGCGTGCTATACGACCTCTGCAATATTGCACCACCCGAATTAAATGTGGCATGTGCGAGCAAACGGCAAATACGCGCCAGAAATTTACATTCGACGTCTTGTCGACACAGGCGATACCTCGGGGAGATGAGGAGACTTCGTAGCGTAGCCGCATTATCATAAATTCATCTCTACTCCAACGACGTCTTCGTGATGTGACATCCGCTCAAAGTCAGCAATTGTACGTAGGAAGCTGATTTCCCTTGCAGTAGAGAGCACCCTGGAGGTATGCGCTGTGGTGTCACATTCTGGCGAATACGGTAGCCCCTACCGGGAGTATCTCAGCATGCTGGCAGTGGATACATACGTATACCAGGAGTAGGTGTACTTATCTAGGGACCAGTCGCTGGTCAGAAAAGTCGCCCCGAGCGCCATTGTAGGAGTATTGGTACAACATAGCCACCATCTTAACGTTGCATGGATACCATGTAATCATCTATCTCTCCCGTGACCACCGCCGCCCAGCCGCTGCGGCATACACCTTCCGTGCCCCAATTCTTGACAGCGTTCTTGCTGCGACCGCGTAACACCCAGTCCTCGTCGCCGCATTGGAAAATTGTCGTCTTGTCCTTTGTCAGCAAGAGATAGCTCTCCCCTCACTAAGGCGAACCCAGACTTCAACAAAGTCCTCCTCGCATTCCCATATGTATGAGCGCAGCCAGTATGGGCGAAGGTCCTGGGTTGTTATCTCAGGGAACTCGCGTTCCAACAGATACCGCATTCGCGCTTGTCGCTGCGCTATGCATTTTCCTCCTTCTTTCTGTGGGAACTGACCGACAACGGCCTTGGGCGAGTGATCTGAATGGCCTTTATAGGTAGCGAAACCAGCGTTTAGCGTATCCTATAATGTAGCCACCTGGCATCTTTTCCTATCTATCCACTCTATTTGGCTACTGTATTGTAGTCCTCTGCCCTGTTCTTCTCTGTCTCTACTGTCTTTGTCTAGCATAATGTAGCCCTCTGCCCCTTTTCTCTATTTGTCTGTCCTCTTTAGCTAGTGCGTTACAGCCCTCCGCCCTCTTCGATCTTCTTTCTCTTCTTCTTGTCTAGTACAATGTAGTCTACTACCCTCTTATATCTTATTCCTTAATTTCTTATCCAACACATCGTAGCTCTCTGCCCTTCTCTTTCTTTTCTTAATTATATTCATCTAGTATATAGTAGTTCTCCGCCCTCTTCTATCTTCTTTCTCTTCTTCTTATCTAGCACGTTGTAGTCTTCTGCCCTCTTATATCTTATTCTTCTGTTTCTTATCTAATACATCGTAGTTCTCCGCCCTTCTCTTTCTTTTCTCTATTATATCTATCTTGTATTTTGTAGTTCTCCGTCCTCTCCTATCTTCTTTCTTTTCTTCTTGTCAAGCACATTGTAATCCTCTGCTCTCCTCTTTCTTTCTCCTCCCCTTATTGTCTACCACATTGTAGCCTTCTGCTCTTTTTTTTATTCTTATAGCCTTGAGGTCCTAGTGCAATTCCTTCTTTTTATGCGTCTTCAGATCGATGTACGTTGGCAGATACACATGGTATGCGGCAAACTGTTCGCGAGAAATATTTGTAAAAGTCCTCGTTGCTGTGAAGTCGAGGTAGCTCGGTAGGTGAATTATTTCGCGTATTGAAGCCCTCTTATTCCTCTTATCTCTTCTACAGGAACTACGAGTATGAGATGTACGAGCCGTTGAGCGATGTGTGCGACAATTTTGACTACAACAAAGCAGAGCGTCGGGTGACACAGACCGCGCATGATGTCTTTCTCCTTCATCTCATCACGAGTTGGACCAACGACAGGGCTCGCGAAGTTGTCGCTCAAGAAAGCGTCGCTGGTGTGCGGGGGGAGTTCTTGCCAAGTTGAGTCTGACATGTCGATCTTGAAAGAATCTTCATCATCTTCAGCGTCTGGGTCTTCGGACAGTCGCTGATTCTTATGCTGCTTCGTCTTCCTGGATCTGGTGGTACTGGTCTTCTTTTGAGGTGTCTTCTTCTTTGGTGTGGTCTGCTGAGGTGTCGTCTGCTGAGGTGTCATCTGCTGGATGCCAATCCACAAGCACGGAATACTCCCCTCGGCAGGAGTACATGTGTGCGAAGTCGGGAGATACAGCAGACGACGAGCCTGGTGCAAAGAGAATTCGAGGGCAGAGACTGGGTTTCTACCAGGCGGTGAAACTGATGCGGGGAGACTTTGTGTATGGATTTTAACGATCCACTGCACAGCGAGCCTGACGCCAGGAGGACTCAGAGAGAAGCGCCAGTATGTAGAAGGCAACAAGCCTGATGCAAGGAGAATTCGAGGGCAAGGACTGGGTTTCTACCAGGCGGTGAAGCTGATGCGGGGAGACTTTGTGTGTGGATTCTGACGATCCACTGCACAGCGAGCCTGACGCCGGGAGGATTCAGAGAGAAGCGCCAGTATGTAGAAGGCAACAAGCCTGATGCAAGGAGAATTCGAGGGCAAGGACTGGGTTTCTACCAGGCGGCGAAGTTGGTGCGAGGGGACTTCGTATAGAGGCTGTGTTCAGGCGAAGACTCCTCTAGACTACTGTCTTCATCATCCTCCTCCTAATTCTCGTCTTCCTTTTAGTCGTCTTCTGACTAAGGACAGGTTCGTTGACGAGCGTTACGGCTGCCCCGAGGATTGGCATGGCACCAATACAGTCTGCATATGCGACGACTCTTCCGGTCTCCTCATCCACAAGGGCTTTCGCGATTTCCTTGACCAGCAGCGAGGACGTGTCCACGAGGCACCATATGCACTGGCGATGTGGCTCTACCTTTCTCGATACAACATCTTCTGGCCCAAGCAGACTGTGTCTTCATGGTTCTTCGAACAAGCATCGCGCATTGGCTCTACCTTTCTCGATACAACATCTTCTGGCCCAAGCAGACTGTGCCTTCATGGTTCTTCGAACAAGCATCGCGCATTGGCTCTACCTTTCTCGATACAACATCTTCTGGCCCAAGCAGACTGTGTCTTCATGGTTCTTCGAACAAGCATCGCGAATCGACTCACGCCACCGGTTGGACGATGGCCAGCATGTGGAACCGGGAGGACTCGTGGGAAAAGTGTGGGTAGAAGACAACAGGCTGAATATAGGCTCCTGCAAGAAGATAAGGCCAAGCGAGGAGACTTCGCATGTAGAATATAGCTATCCACCATACGACTAGTCCAGTGTGAGGAGGATTCGTGGGCTGTGCCCAGGTATAGAGAGGACAACAAGCCCAAGCGAGGAGACTTCATATATGCAGCTTGGCTATCCACCATACGTCCAATCTGGTGCCTGGAGAACTCGTAGGCTTTGCCCACGCACGTAGAAAACCACAGACTGATGCGAAAAGAACTCGTAGATAGAAAGGCACAACCACGGTACGACTCTGGAACAGTGGCTGGAGAACGACAGCAGCAAGTGCCTCATTGAGCCAGCTATCAAGAATGCATA